TTCCAAAATGAATCAAAACTACATCGTTGATTGAGTATGAAGTTTCTGGGGGTTTGTTAAACCGCATTTCATCCGAGTTGACTGTTTTCATATCATTGGAAAGCTATCGTGTAATTTCAGTCAGTTCCTAGTTAAATTTCAGAAATCGGTTTCAAATGATGTCTCACTAAACGTCGATTAGCCGTTGAGTACTTAAAATAATGAGGGATACACTTGTAACTATTTGAGGTGTTCTCACTCTGATTAGTTTTATATAAACAAAACATTTCACGAAACGATGGATAATATGATGTAAGTGAGTTTGTCGATTGTGCATTGACTTGGAAGTCTCCATTGCTTTTCGAATTGGTATGCATATGATACTGAATTGCTCTGAGGTATTGAAGTCGAAAAAAGCACTCCTGGAAATTGTAATCATACTTCCTATTCCATCATGTATAAGACCATTGAAAAAAAATATTTCGACAGCTTAGTTATTCATTCCATAATTTAATGTTCAGATCGATCCCATTATTCAACAAAACTCATCGCTATATATTCAACGTTGTTTTATTCAATTTCAACATGTCGTGGAATATGAATGACATTAATAGGGGTCCAAATTTCGCACTGCTCAATGTGATGAAAAAATCACGGTGAATGAAATAGTTATTTTACTCCAAAATCGACATGGTATCATTGAGTTATAATTACGTGTTTTGTAATTACTTTATCTTTTGTTTGATAACTTACAAAGCAATCACCTCATTGTTTTTACTGTAGATTATCCAAAACACAATTCGCGTCAAGCATGTGAACACGCAACATCATCGGATACAACGTGCATTTGGTGTGAGAAAGCGGAGAGGTGCATAAGCAGCAATTATGAGGATACTCATGACTTCAAAATATATATTTGGCGGATTGAAGTGAGAAATAAGTAGACTTCACAGGTTGTTTGTAGTATAACCATATTCCACATTGTTAATCGGATTACATGGAAGAACATTTTATTTTTACGAATAAGTAATGATTTGTATTCATCTTTCCGTGCATTAATCAAGGCATTGTATTTGTTGACAATATTTCACCAGACAAGAGAACAGTGCTTGATTTCTGTGTGGACATTTAATGAAGAATAGAAGCGTTGTTCAACTCCAATACCATGAAAGCATGTTATTTTTCAACTCACAAAATTTGTAGTGATCTACGATGTCCAATCTGGAACGAAATATCTACGTGAACTTTCGTGAAATAGCGATGAAACCAGTTTAAGTGATGAAGCGTAATCCATTGAAAATTGTGTAGCATGTTTGGATAATTATTAAAAAATCGTAACCTTCCTATGTTGAAGTTCAGAAAAGCATCTGTAATTTCTTGTTGAGAAATATGTATCCTGTATGGGCTGCGATATGAAAGCTGTCAGCTATGTGATAATAAGTCATATCGAGGAAATAAGTTTAGATTACACAAATATGCGTCGTCAGTTTGTTGTAGGATAATGTGTACTTATCTCATAGACCATCAATTCGGTAGAAGATATTCTGTATCATTATTCATTGAACATATTGTTCAAATGTAAATTCTGTGACTATTTGATGAATTCAACTTTGTAATCAATATTGACAACAGTGTTCAATAAATGATGAATAATTGGAGTAATATTGCCACTGTTTTGTTCCTCTTTAGAACAGCTTGAATGTCAGCGCTTCGAGTGAACCAACACCTATCAAAGAAGAAGAAACAAAAGAAGCAATCACTGAAGCTGACTTGAGAAATGATTCAAAGGAAACTACTGAAATAACTGATCTACTTTGGTAAATATTTAATATCTTTTATAATTGACATTGTTCTGTTCTTCAGACGATCTCCATTGCCAGTGCTTTGAGTGAATTAACACTTATCGAACAAAAAGAAACTACTCAAGAAATCACAGAAACAGATTTCAGAAATGAATTGAGTACTAATACTCAAATAACTGAATCTTATTTGGTAAATATTTGATAGTGAGTAATATTGCCACTGTTTTGATCCTCTTCAGAATAGCTTGGATGTCAACATTTTGAGTGAATCAACACCTATAAAAGAAGAAAAAAACCACTGAAGCAATCACTGAATCTAACTTTGGAAATGATTTGAAGGAAACTACTGAAAACAATGAATAAATTTTGGTAAATATTTGATATTTAGTAATTGTTGTACTTCTCTGATTTCTTTTCAGAATATGACTGCAAGAACTACAGAAGATAAACAAGAAGGAAAGTCCCGCAATCTTTGGTGTATTTTAATACCAATAGCTGTCTCATTCGTTGTTGTATGCATTGACTGTGTCATATGCATATGGTTGTACAGAAAACGGGAGAATAATCCATGATTCTCAAGAACACGTCGTCATATTTTTCCTTATGCTGACTTTGTCATTTCCAATTTATTTCTCTTCTAAACACACTTTCTGTTTTGTTAATCACTTCAATAAATTGGATTTGGTTTCATGGAAACACATACGCTTTTCATGGTTGTACATGTAATTACTGGTATCATTTTGTTGGTAAAATATAAAATATAGTTTTTTGCTTTCATTTGATTGCTATTATTCAATGAAACCTGATGGATTTTACAACAGTTCACAACATTGAACCTGTGAATTATCACCATCCTGTACATGTGATTATGTCACAATGCCAATGGACAATAGTTTTGTTGCGAATGTTTATTTTGTGGTCATCTGACTACTTGAAAATATCATTGAAAACTAAGGATGTTCTTTGTTTAAACTGAACAGTCAGAATATCGCATTCATAGTTCATAAGACAACTTATTTCTTCGTTATTACGATAGAATAACTGATGATAAGTTGAAACCACTGTCTATTGTTCTGATATTGTTGATAGACTGTAATACTCATGAGATGATGTACAGAACATACGAAACGATAGCTCATTAATATTCACCTAAATCTGTAACTGATTTGGTCTCAGGACATAGTTGTCATTCATATTTGAAAATTGGTCAGGGTACTTTAAATATAATTGAGAATTAGAGTGTTTGAGAAAACAGTTTTGATTTAATTTTTTGATTTCATCAGAAATTCTTCATCTCTGTGTTATATTATCACTTTTCTATTTGTGTGACATGAATCCTTATCACATTTCTATTTAGTTACTATTAGGTTTTCGATTTGTGGTGGATCAATATAAATACTGTCCCATTATTCCATCCTAATTAATTATATAAAAATATACAACTTATAAGTTATGAACACAAATAAAAG